TGTGTGTCTGTGCGCGCTCGTGGGCGCGCCTGTCTCGGGCCGTGCTTGTGTCTCGGGGTCCGTGTTTATGTGTGAAAATGTGTTAAACCAGAGTAAAAGTTCTTAGTTAAACTTGTGCTTTTGTAACATTCAGTATGGGGAGACATACAGGTTGCATGTCTCGGGGAAAACTTTATTTCAATTTATATGTATTTGTTTAATCCAAACAAGGAGATTTAGAATCAAAGTCAGAGTCGCAAAAAACTCTCGCGATCCCCCCGAGCATAAACGCACCGTGGCTCCCAACGTAAAAAACTTCCTGAAAAAAACTCTTTTCTCCAAAAACGAACAACAAAAAACCCTAGAATAACTTTAGGCAACCCTCCTATACCCAAAACCTTATATTTGAAAACAGGGGAAAATTCCTGAAAAAATCCTTCTTCTTTTTTTTTTCTTCAAACCAGCTCTCTTACTAGCTCCGTCTAGTCCGTCTGACCCGCAACCGCTGCCAGCGCACAATTTTTCCTTCTTGTTCACTCAGCTCCCAAAATGCTGCTTAGCTGTTCGAAATTTGCGCCCGAGACCAACTCCGCCTCCGAGGCATGCCTAACTTTGCCCCACTGCCAATCACATAACAAAGGGGCGGCTCCCCTCGCACCCCAGTTAGCCAATCGGATACAGGTCTGATTTGCATGATCTCCTGCAGAGGTTAAGACTGGGACAGCTCTCCCACAAGACACCTTCTGAAGCATCTACAAACTGGCGCCGCTCAGACTGTTTGTGAGTTCGCATAAGACCCCTGTCTCCAGACCGCTTCAACAACTGGCGTCTCTTTCCTTATGTGCATATCAATCGGTAAGTGTTAATCATCCTTTTCTAACTACATTTTGCACTTTCATTTTAACCATTTCTGTCAAAAAGCTTTTCATCTTCAAAAACCATGCAAATGGGGTTTGTAACACTTGGAATACACTTTTTAAAATATATATAAGCTCAAGTTTAACACTCGGAGCTAAAAGTGTTTTAGTACACTATACTATAACAGCAATCATGGCCTCATCAGGTACCTCATTTCTTACTCTTTCTTCATATAATTCTTATATTTTTACTGTTTTTCCATGTTTTTAATTACTCGTTGTTATTTCTTTTTTAGACTCTGAAATAAGCGCGCTCAACTCTACTCTCTGTGATTCTCTCAATCGAATTGGTAGGTTTGTTTCATTGTTGTTCCCCTCTTAAAAGCTAATTGTACAAGAAAAAACAACATTAACCCTCTTTTAACTTATCAAACTTTTTTAGACATCTCAGATTTGGACAACATTTTTTTTCAAGCTCACCGAGTTCTTCTCCACCAGTGCTCCAGCGAGCCACAGGCAAGAACATCCGTCTCTCTGCCAGGGAGAGGCAAGACCTGCTCTCTATGCTAGGTCGCCCGGCTTCTTCTTCTTCTTCCGGCCACAGTTCCCTCCCGAGAGCTTCGGGGAAAAAAATATCCGTCTGTCCGATCGGGAGAGGCAAGATTTGCGCTCAGCGGTCGGTCCTTGTGCTCCGGGCGCTTCTTCTCCCCCATCAGGCAAACGAAATGCACCGTGCCTGCTTTTGAGAACCAAACACCATCAGTCTCTCTAGGTTCTCACTTTTTTCTCATTTTATAAAAACTATCTCTTTGTATTTAACATGACTAACTGTTTTGTATATTACCCTCAAATTCTTAGGGCTACTTAAGCATCTCAGGAGGAACAGGACAAGCGGCAGAACCACAAGGATAAGAAGGACAAGGCCAAAGCGCAGGCGAGACCAGCTGGCTTCTATAGCTCTTCGTGCAGTATGTCTCATAGCTGAATTAATTCCACTCGTCATATAAAAAAATAAAATAAAATAAAATTCTTTGCTTTTCTTTTCTTTTTCAAACAACTGTGTTTTTATATATTCTTGTTACACAATAAAAAATGGATAACCAGGAACATGATATTACAGACCCATTTCTTGCTTTAGAAATAGCTAGGTTAAATGAAAATACTCATCATTCACAGAATACACCTCCACAAAACCATGAGCAACCTGATGTGATCAGTAATAATGACCCTTTAGAAATGCTTAATTTAGCTCTTGCCCGATTAGCCTCTAGTGAAAGTGCCCTGCAAAATAACTCTCAGAGTTTAGGAGTGGAGCATGTTGAAGCCCAAACAGAGTCAGAACCGGCTCATTCTCATTCATCAGATCCGTTTTTCGAGCTTAATCAGGATTTATCAGCCTTGGCGCAAATACAGGATGAGGTTCAAATACCGCCAGAGTTATTGAGTCAAATAAACAGGTTAAACGAAAATCGTTTCAATGATTCCCATAGCCAGCATTCGCTCAGCTCTTCCCCAAACATAGTCTCTGCTAACGAGCCACTTAACCCCGCAAACAATGATCCCGATCATTCCTTTCAACAGCAAGGTGGTAATCCAGACCAGAGTTGCGCCAGCAATTCAGCACAACCGTCTATAGTTGTCAGAAATAAATTTAATAACGTTGAAATTAGAGAAATTTTGAATTTCCCACCTCCACACGATATACCCAATTATGCCCAATATTATCAAGGTATAATGGGCAGTGCCCGTGAAATAACAAACAGGGTTTTCTCGCATGCAAGTCCAGGCGATCTTATACAATTAGAGTTGATAGGGCAACAGTTACAAAATAATGTTTCAGTTATTTTACGTGATTATTAGGGGTGCAACGATACACAAAATTCACGGTTCGGTTCGATACTTTGGTGTCACGGTTCGATGTTTTTTCGATACAAAAAAAAATGTTCATGCCTTTTTAATTTGTCATTTATTAAAATTATAAATATATATTTTAACTCAAAAGTACAGTTTTTAAATTTAACCCTAACCCTTGTGCGTGTTTTTTATTTTGACAGCGAATGCGCACCTGCGGACCACTTATGTGCAGCCCTGGTTATTTAGCTCATCATATTGCAGCCACAGAAATTCTTTTGTCCATGAAACCATAAAGCTGCACTTTCTTTTTGCCTTATAGTCTGATTTGTCATAACTTCTCCGTTTTGTGGTAAGCTTTTCTTTGGCTGTCACTTCTTCACCCTGACCTGTCTTATTTGGCTCAGCAGAACTAAATATATATCTGTCTGTGAAGGTTCTCAATCATCCAGGTCATCGTAGTCAAATATAAATCCTGCTGCTTTTACACACTCACTCACATAAGCTCAGCGATTCTCTGCGCGATCAACCTCTCACATGTTTAAGCTGCGGGAGATTTCACTTGTCATGTTTGCATAGTAAGCTAACGATTAATAAGACGATGTCAGAGGAATTGGTGCACAAATTATCATCACTCACAGATCAGTGCTGTCGCTCTCTATACACAGTTCGCACGATTGCAAAGTGAAAGCAAAAAAACAAGCGCAAATTCAAACGCGATTTCAATATGTCACATATTGACAGTGGCTCACCGATGCCAATGACATAATTACCCAGCTACATTTCTGAAAGAATGCAAAAGCATTGACATATATTTTTCCTTCCTACAATAGCCCGACGGGCAGGGCAGAGATAGATTTTGGTAGCCCGACTGAAAAAAATCGCTAGCTCCGGGACGTCGGGCTAGCGATATTGCGAGCCCTGTATCTGATTGAGGAATCACTCATCTTTGGAAAAGAGAGTTTATTACAGAGAAATGGCTCTTTCCAAAATAAAAGCTATACTATCCGCTTCTTCTGGGCTATATTCTCAGCAGCATAAGGAGAATCATGTGCTAACAGCTGTCTAAATGACTCGGCTAAAGTTAGTAGCATGCTTGTTGTTTTTGTCTTTGCACTAGGATGATGTCGGCGTAAATGTGCAGTCATATTCGTTGTGTTCCCACTAGTGCTTTCAGGTTAATCTCGTTGAAATGACCTTAACGCCACAACACGGCAAATCTCCGTTAACGAGCTACCGCCGATCGCCCCGTGCATGGGGCTAGACGGCCAACACGTTAACGAGCTAACTGCGCTAACACACTAGTTCACACCAATGTAATTGAGCATTGCATGGCACATCCAACATACTGTTTTACTTTAGTCCATGACTCGCTTACCTTCAGGGTCATACGTCACATGAAAACCAAAATAATTCCAAACGCCAGATCTGAATGAGGTTCAATTTGCTTGTTGCAAGCAGAGCTTAACTTCTGTCTCGCTAGCTTGCCCTGCGCTCTTCCTTCTGACTATGCTGTCTGTGTTGAGCGCTCAGTGGATCTGCGCTCGACAGTGCAGCCTAGGCGGAGTAGTCGAACACAGATTCACTGAGCGCTCAACACAGACAGCATCGTCAGAAGGAAAGTTGATAAAATAAATTACAAATGTTGTATTGTTCGATACATATGCGTACCGAACCGAAAGCACTGTATCGAACGGTTCAATATCGATACGAATATCGTTGCACCCCTAGTGATTATGATTTGTCTGAATTTGAAGATTTATTCT